ATACTGAAAGGAACACAAGGATGTTTGTTGTCTCCTTACCTGTTTATTTTAGATCTTGAAATATTGAATAAAAGGCAGGATAAGAGAATTGCAGGAGTAGAGATCAAAATGTTTGGGGCTTTTGCTGATGATGTGTGTTGGTTTTGGAAGATTTATTAAAGGGAATAGAAATATTAATAGGAAAATTAAAAGAATTTGGTGCGCCAGAAGGTTTCAAGATTAATAATATAGTATATGTAATAATATTATATGTATATAAAAACAGAAAACTGAAGCTCTGAAAATTAAGACCTAGAAAAATCTCACAGAACTTCATGAAATCTCATGCATTTGTATCATTGATGCAGAGAGTTATGTTTGAGTTCTCTGAACTCTTGCTATAAGGAACTTTCTCAACTCCAGCTTATATTTAGAATAATAGAAGTTCAATTTTTATTCATGATACTTTCCAGCCTGGCATGAATTTAAATCTGGAGTTTAAACAAAGGAGCGGGGAACACATTTGGTGCTTTCAGCATACAAGCTGGATGAGTTATGGGCTGAATAAGGAAATACTGTTCTTGAAAGGAATTAAGAATCTCCATCCCTGCTGACATTTGATTTCTTTTTAGCACCAGGACCAGCAAAATAATCTATACCTTACAAGCTAAAAAGGTCTATATCAATATTAACCTCCATGGCATCCTTTTGACATTTGTTCTAAGTACACTGAAATGAACTTTTCTGACAAATACCAAATAAATATTGTCCCACGTCACAATTAAACATTAGCTACGTTTCTTTTGTGTCCTTTTAAAGGGAAGTAGATATAATTGAGATGTACTATGTGTGGATGTAATGATCCCTCTGCTAGTGCTACTAGCATTGGGTTTGGTTCTGAACATTGGATTCAAGTTCAAGGCAAATGCTGTACTTAAGGAAAAAATAGCAAAGAATTGCAGTTGTCACAATTTTATTCAGTTTATCAATTAAAATTAATTGCTTTGTTAAACTGTGATTTGTCAAACAAATCCCAATTGCTTGAATTCTTATATTACACCATCACCACACACACACACACATATACATACACACACACACATTTTTTATATATTGCAATGAGTTTAAGTACTACCGTGTTTCCCCAAAAGTAAGACCCAGCCAAAAAATAAGCCCTAGCTTGATTTTTTTGGAGATGGGCTTAATATAAGCCCTACTCCAAAAATAAGCCCTAGTTTGGGGGCAAGGCACATGACTAAAAATCAAGCTAGGACAGGGGTGGGAGGAGGTGAAGCTGCCCCATGTGCCCCACATCCACTTACTTTACTGGTAGGACCGCCGCAACCAGGCCTCCCATACCCCAACACTTGTCAAGCTGCATGGCTCGTCATGCCAGTGCCGCTGCTCCTGGCAGGAGGTTGTACAGCACTTTGGGACATTGCTGTTGCTCACAGCAGGATTTCACATGGTACTTTGCACCATTTCCGCTGCTCACGGCAAGAAGCCGCACAGTGTTTTGAGCCATTTCTGCTGCTCGTGGCAGGATGCTATGTGGCTCTTTGGGCCGTTTCTGTGGTTTCTTGCCACGAGCTGCAGAAATGGCCCAAAGAGCCATGCGGTGTCCTGCTGTGAGCAGCAGAAACAGCACAAAGCACCATGCTGCCTCCTGCCATTAGTGCCAACCGTGCAATGTGCCACAGGGCTTCCAGCTGCAAGTGACAGCAAGCGGTTGCAGAAGAAGTTAAGCAGCAATGTGACAGGTGTCAGTATATGGGAGACCTGGCTGTGGTGGTCCTAAAGTAAGACATTCTCCGAAATTAAGACCTAGGAAGGTATTCTTCTGGCTTATGTGTCAAATTTCTACAAATACATTTCTAAGTCAAGATGATGTGATCATAGGAAGCTGTAAAGCATTCTGGCTTCTGATAGTGATGCTACTGACATTCCTTCATAAGTAAATTAAGGAAAGGGACAAAGTAAGGATGCAAACAAAGCAAAGACAGTAACACAAATCCCTCATTTTGAATGGAATATATCTGCTGCCTCAAAGATTTCATATTCTGATGGGGACCAAAAAATCTGGGAGCAGGGAATGTGGGGTGGAATATCTGAATGAAGGCATAGCTAGAAGGTGAAGTGGTGTAATCACACAGTTGCATGAGTTTGCACAACTCACTTGTCAAAATAATGTAACCCAGAAAAAACTTTAATTTAATATAGTTGTTTTATTTGGAACACACAGAGAACAATTCTAAGTATTCCCATAGTCATTTCTATACAAATTAATATTAATTAAATTCTACAACAGTGGTTGTTAGTTAATCTGTCAGTTATAAATATTTTAATTTGAACATTACTTTTTAATCTGGAAAAATATCATGACACTCAATAAGGAATGTTTTCACACATATTACAGTACAATAGCAAATAAATGATTTATGACCAGGTTTCAGCCCTTGGCCTTAACCCAATGAAAATTACTTGTAAATTACCATTAAAACTAATAGGAAATTTATTAATGAGTAAACCCCTATTGTGTTCAGTGGGACACAATAATACTTAAAATTAAACAGTTAAAATTGAGATTTAGTGAAATACTACACTAAATAATTTTGTAACTATACCCCTCCAAGCAAGATCTTCCAAACTAATTTCTGCAAACCAAAATGAATTTGGTTTGCAAACTTTCAAATGAATTGTACACCCAATCCTAAATATTTTAGTTATTTCCATTCAGCCATTATAATTTAGAATATTAAAATGTATTCAAGCAAATGGAATAAAATATAGTAGTATATCTAAAATTTCATTGATATTTCACATGTTTTAGAAGAGCGGAATACAGGTTGGGTTTCCATCATAATTAGGTCTAATTCTGATTTATGTTCTCTCGTCATGCTTTTTTGAAACATTGTTGTGTAATTTTCTTCTGACCAAGAATTACATTTTTTTTAAAAAAAGGCCTTCATAGCTACATAGAGATGCCAATAATATATCAAATGAGAGGGTGGAACAAAATATTCAGCACATTCCTGAAGGGCTACAAATGGAATGGATGTCTTAAGCCTTATAAGGCACAATTATAAGGCACAATTATCAAAACCAAAGCACAATCATTTTGAAACTATACACTCTAGTGTTGTGAAGGGGATGCTGGGATAGAGATTCTTTCAAGTGATTAAAACAAACCATAATGTAGTGCAACATGAATCTATCCGGTTATGTCAATGGTTACAAGATCCACTGACATGAAAATACAGATACATTAGGAGTAAACCTTGAATATATTTCACAGTACTTACTTTAAAATGAATATTATAGAATTGGGCTAGGCTTTTGCTTATCTTAATGGGCTCTGGTTATAACTGAAGCCACTTCATGTAAAAGAAAGGGAAGAAACATATTTCCTACACAATATCTTCCTAAAAATCTATTTTTAGATTTTTGATATCTGTTAGATACACTGAATGTTATGCTTCTGCCACTCCTGCTTTGAAAAAAACCTAGATGCATAGGGCAATACCCCTCTCCACCCGCCCCATACCCCCACTATTGCTATTTCCAGGAATATTTCAAAGCAAATGTAATGGTTACTGATTTTCAAAGAAGTACTGTAAGGTAGGTCTTGGTCTTGTATAGATGCTATGGATTACTTCTCACCCAACATTTATAACTTCATATAAAAAGAACATACAAATATCCATATGGGCTATAGAATGTAATGCAGCTACTTATTTTGTAAAAAAACTCATAAGAAAAGGAAATCTGACAAATATTGCACATTAGATTTAACTCAACTATGGGATTATCTAAGAAAAATAAATTAATACATGAACAGGAGCAGTGGAAATACACCCCAGTCAATCCTATAACTTTAGAAGGGCTATGTACTGGAAGAAGTCCTAACTGCTTGCATCCCATAAAGCAGTGAGTATCCCTAAATTAGTAAACCTTGAATATACTATAAACAGACATTTTTTTTATCCACAGACACTTGAATATACAAGTTGAAGTGATGAATGGAAGGTAAAAGGTAGTGTAGAACTTAATTGAGTCTGAAGTAAATAGTGAAATCTATTCAAAATAAATTTAATTCTGATTCACAACGTAATGGCATTTAAAAGAATCAAGCAAACTGTTTTGTAACATTGCCTAAGATATGATTTTTTTTATATATCCCATGAATTGCAGAAATTTTTCAAATAATATGTTAACATATTTTCAACAACAGAGATTTGAAAATTACAGTGTTTGTGCCTGTGTATATATATGTCTGTATCTACAGGTGTCCTCGTCTTATTATCACAATTGGGACCAGAATTTTTATTGCTAAGTAAGGCAGTTCTTAAGTGAATCATGCCCAATTTTATTACTTTTCTGCAATGATGGTTAAGCAAATCACTGCAATTGTTAACTGAATCATGCAGTCATGAAGTGATTCTACTTTCCCCTATTGACTTTGCTTGTTAGAAGCCGGCTGGGGTGGTCACAAATAGTGATCATATGATCCCAGGATGCATGGGATTTTGACCACATGATTATGGGGATGCTGCAGGGTTCATAAGTGTGAGGACCAATCATAATTTCACTTTTTTCAGTGCTGCTTTAACTTTGGTCACTAAATGAATGGTTATAAGTCAAGGACTATCTGTATATATTTATCATATTAATAAATTATTATAAAACTATAATAACATTATTGCTATTCGTCTATGGTTCCAGTAGGAATAAAATAGGTAATAGAACTCAAAAATATTCCAATGAAGGCATTCAGCATAACACCAAATGATTCAGCCACATAAAAAAAGTAACTATATATATAGTTACTTTTTTTATGTGGCTGAATCATATATGAAAAATCTCTTCCTAATGTCCCAAGATTAATGGGGGTTGGAAATCCAAAGAAGAGAATTTTCTCAGTTATTAGAAATAACAATAGGGTAGATGATGTTTATTAAAAGTGAAACATCAAGTCAGAATGTAAAAGAAAAAAAATAAACATAGAAATAATGTTTCCATTGTCCAGTCTAGAAAGTGGCCTTTTATTGATGGTCTTTCTCACTGTATCGCTACATTAATCCAATGTAAACAACATTCATATGCTGTAATCTGGGATTACTAGTTTTGTAGGCCTCATCTACAATACATCAAGCACTGATCTCACTTGTTCTTGCTTAACTAGCATATGTTGGTTAAAGAGTTATCAGATTCTGATTTATACTATGGCACTGTAAAATTTATTTACTTCATTCTCTTAAATTTATATTTAGGAAAACAACTGATCTTTAAAATCAGTACCTTATTTAGAGATATGTAACAGTAGTAAATGATGTATTGATAAAAACATTGCTTATGTGCAATTCAAGAACTTTGATTGGAATAGCAACTTCGTTAGATTTTGTTTTATCGTTTAATTAAAAGGCAGCACAAAAAATCTGCTGTACTGCTAACTCTAATGCAGTGCATTTTCCACAAATATCATAGACTTCAAAGATTAGGCTTTGCATCGCAAAATATCCACATTGTTATTGCACTGGATTGGCAGTGAATCAGTATATAAAAACAAAAGACAATATTCCCATAGAATTCTATGGACTGATAATGCATACAAAGGAGAACTTGTATTGTTATATGGACTTATACTTCTGTCCATGTCTCCCAAGTCTGGTTAACTAGTCTGTATCTACATGATCAATAGAACAGTTGAATTTGGTACATTATTTGAAAAAAGGGAAGATAATTTTACTGTATATTCCTTTCTGTTTATGAGTTTTGGCTGTTATGATTTGCCTGATTTATATTTATGAAAAAAATCAGGGAAGATATCCCATTAGAACTAGATTCAATTTTTAAAAGTGCCACATTTTCTATGTAATTTTTAATAGGTGCAAGTATTACATTTGCCTCAATTAAAATAATTGTTTTCAACTATGTGGACAATAGCAATGTGTCTCCTATAGCTGTCTCTGAATCTTGGCTGTGAGTAGAACTGATTCCAGTGTCGGAGTCTGTATCATTTAGGTCTAAATTTGTCATTTTGTGAAGAAGATCTGTGCCTTGAAAATTTTTTGTACAGGTTCCAGTTTCGTTGTCCTTCATTTCCTCTTCACTGGTTGGGTAACTGAATACATTTTTATCATTAGCATGCAAATCACTAAGCTCTTCTACAAGTAGTTCATATTCTTTTTCCTTCCTTTGAAGCATCAAATCCTGATATTTTAGTTCCTGCTCTATGCAGTTCAAGTGAGAATGAATCCTTAGAGCATCTTTCATACTTCTCTCCAGCTCATTCTTAACACTTTCTAGATCAGCGTTCTCCACTTCACCTTTAGATGCTTCTTCTGTCCATAAGTCTCCATTTTTTTCACTTTCCTTAACCTCTTGTTCAATTTCAGCAGAGAGTTTTTCAATCATTAACTTGTGGTGCTTTAGTCCTTCCTCCACTTGTAAAATCCCATCACATTTATTTGAACTTTCCTGCTGATGGTTATGAGACATTTCCATTAGCTGTTCAGAACTGCTACAAGAAGACATTAAATAAGACTCTTGAACATAGTTTTCCCCATCACTTTCAAGCTGATCTAGATGGAATTTGGCTTCACACTCTTCAATTTCCATATCTAGTTCCTTCATTCTATTAATCTGTTGGTGAATAGTGTGGTCTTGAGAAAGGATGAGATGGATTAGTGTCTCTATATTGTCCCTCTCCTGCAGAACTCCTTCCTGTTTAAGTTTGGCCAGTTTCCGAAAGGTTTTCCTAAGAATTCTCTTTTGTTTGTCCACTGACAACATCTTCATATAATTTGCTGGACTCAGATCCCAGTGCATTTCCAGGTTTGGAACTATTTTGGCTTCAGATGTCCTCCACAAGGGTAAGGGAAGGAAAGCATCTGCCTTGACCAAGACAAAGTGCAAATTAGGTTGCTCTTCCCCCCAGGCTTTCCAGAGTCTGAGCATTTTTGTGAGAGGTGGAAGAACCCGTTCAGAACCTCTCCATTTTTCTATAATGCAATAATCTTTAGGTTGTCCAAAGAGAAATCTCTTCTCTGCCAAAGTGGTCTGATGTTCTTCCAGCAAAGCTTCAACTACTTGAATGCAAGTTGTGTGTTTAGTCAATCCACTGACAATCTTCTCTTCCTGGCAAACCCAGACTATGATTTCTTGGTCACTGGAGCCCATTTCTTTCGCAGATGATCTGAAGTTAAAGAAACAAAAAAAATTTATAAGCCAAATTGTAGCTTTGGGTAAACTCTATATTATATTAAAATATGGACATCCTGCATTGAAACTATCATGTAAAATTTATACACATACAAGGACATGTTTGAGAAGTGTTTCATAAACACAAGAAGTGCTTGTGTGTTTGCTCCTTTGTTTTTGCTCTTCCTTTTAAAAAAATTATTTTTTGTTCTGTTCTGTTCAATTATAAAATGTACCCCCTGCAAACCCCCAAAACCATGGATAGGCTTTGGAGTCTTAAGATAACTTGGAAGATTGTAGAAAAGGCGGTAAAGAATCTCAGGACAAAATTAATTTATCCTACATGTTTAATATATATAAACTGTTACAAAAGCTATGCATGCTCAGTCTTTAATCATATGCCTTGTATGCATTACAATAATTCTCACGGAACTTAGTGATATATATTTTTGCATATACTTGTATGGAACTATATTGCAAGTTTAATTTAGTTTCACTAAAGCTTGCAAAGACTAGCTATTACTCTATACAATTACTCAGAATATAACACAGAGTCAGCTTAAGGAACTGATCTTAATATTGGAGTTGGCCTGAGTAAACCCAGGTTCAAATCACTACAGAATTCACTGGGTGACTTTCCCTCCCTCCCCCCAACCCACCTCACAGTATTTTGTGGGGGGAAAAATGAGATGCTGGAAGAACAACATGTAACCTGTCTTGAGCTGATTGAGAAAATATAAATGAAATGAAATCTATCGACCAATCAATGAATTAGTGAATCAATAAATCAATGAATGAAGCAAGCTAGCTAGCTATTTTGAGTAGTTTCCCTTTGGGCAAACTATAAATACATAAATTAAGCTAATCAGAATGAGAAAATGCAATGAATCTATATTTTTGAGTTGCATTTCATTTGTTATGTTTTATGATTTCCCTAAGTTGCATGTTTTCTGCTATGCACATGGTATTTTTTTGTTTGCTTGCTTTGAAATAGGCTACCTTTTTCAATTTACATACTATGTGGATTCCTTCACAGAAATTCTGAACTATGTAAAGAATGGTTGCTGGAATTGGGTATGTCTAGTTTAATGAAAAGAAGGACTAGTGGGTGACCTGATAGCAATATTCCAATATCTCAGGGATTGCCACAAAGAAGAGGGAGTCAAGCTGTTCTCCAAAGCACGTGAAGGTAAGACAAGAAGCAATGGATGGAAACCAATCAAGGAGAGAAGCAACCTAGAACTAAGAAGACATTTCCTGATGGTAAGAACAATTAATCAGTGGAATGACTTGCCTCTAGAAGTTGTGAATGCTCCAACGCTGGAAGTTTTTAAGAAGAGATTGGACAACCATTTGTCTGAAATGGTACAGGGTTTCCTGCCTGAGCAGGGGTTGGACTAGAAGACCTCCAAGGTCCCTTCTAACTCTGTTATTCTGTTATACAGAAAATATATTTGTTAAAATGTACGAAAATGAAGGGCATTCATAAGACATAATGTATAGACAGACCTTAGGAATGGTTGTTTGACAGATGTCTACTTAAGAGGAGAAAAGCAAAACATGGAAACCAGGGAAAGCATGGAAATGCATTTGTGGGAAATGAGTAATCATGTAGTAAAAGGAAACTCAATAAAGTGACATTTCATAGAAACCACCTAAGATCATTAGGAAGGCTTATTTCAGTTACCTGCTCCCCCCTTCTGCATATTAATTAAATGAGAATATGGGATCAAGTAGTCTGCTTGAATTAGTTGCAGTGCTTGCATCTGTATGTCATGTTAAAAATTGGCTCTTGCAAAGGCACTTCTTTCTAGGTTTTACCCAGTAACTGAATTGGCAAAAATACCCTGCCACCCCTAGCAATTTTTCAGTGAATAACTAAAGTATATGTGAGAGGCAAGTACTCCCAGATCTATAAAAAGGCACCTCAATGAGAACTGAACATGTTCAGTGTACATACTGGGATGCTGGCTGTTGGAGAAAAAAAAAAAGTAGAAAACTGAGGAGGTTGGAATGGAATACAGTTTCTTGAAAAATAGCATGATCAAACAGATCTAATGTTCAACAGGAATGCTCCAGACTGCAAATTTGGTCAGAGACTTCCCAGTCTACAATGAATGTTTGAACCTTAATTAAAATCACTGGCATGGGATCTCTTTTCAGTCAAAGCATATGTGCAAAAGGAAACTTATGAAGCTTGTGATGTAGAGGATGGTTTTGCTTTCTTTTTGTCCTTTCTCCAACAGGATGGAAAGCAATGTTTAAAGATTATAATATAAGTCATCTTGAGGGACTGCCTTCTCACATTGCATTTGCCTGAACAAGATTGGCATGTTCCAGGTTCTTTGATTAAGCAATGTCATTTAGGAGACTTTGGAAGTGTGCCTCCTCTGTAGCAGTGCCTGCCCTCTGGAAACTTGCTGTCTATTGTCAGCTTTATTGTAGTATTTTGTTTGATTATTGTGAGCCATCCAGAGTTGTTAGAAGCCAGATGGCAGACAAGCTATTATTATTATTCTCTGTTCACAACAATGTAAAGTTACTGCTATCAGTTCTTTAGCCGGTGTTATGTTTGTGTGCCTCGGGTTCTTCCCAAGAACCTAGAATGTTGTAATGTATCAGTATTAGTATATGTGTGAATCCAAGCAGTGTGGCGTTTTGCAAGTGACAGATGGAAATTTTGTCAATTATTTTCTAAGTGCTGGGCAAGATTTTTTGGTATAGAACCCAGTATGCTGATAACCATTAGCACACTATACCCAGTTTATGCCATTATCTCTCAACTTTGATTTATAAATCTTAACACTTTGTGATCCTCTCCAATACTCTATCTTCTATTCTGCTTTCTCCTGGTACTGACATATCAATTATCCACACTTTGTTTTTAACCACAGTTGTACCAGATATATAAGCAAAGATTTAATAATAATAATAATAATAATAATAATAATAATAATAATAATAACCACTTAGAAACAAGGAAGATCAAGGAAGCACTGGAAATAATAAAGCAACAAATAACAGCTATAGCCAGGAAAATCAGTAGATATGAAGCTTGAATTGCAAACTATAGGCAAAACCTCCAATTTCAATCCAATCAGAAACATTTCTACCAATCCATCAATGCAGAAACTGCAAGGAATCAGTCAGTACCTGACAAGGAAGAAACTGCAGTTCTGGAAGCAGATATGGGATAACCCAAAGAAATACAACAAGGATGAGGCTTGGTTAAAAGAGGTGGATGCAAATAAAACAGAAGTTGAAATGAAAGAACTAGTAATAACAACAAAAATGGTAGAAAAAAGAGCAAGGAAAATCAAAAATTGGTCAGCACCAGGTGAAGATGAACTGCATGGGTTTTGGTTGAAACATCTAACTGTTATACACCCACTCATTGCCAAACAGTTCAACAATATACTACAAGGAGGAGAAATTGAAAAGTGGCTAACAACTGGGAAAACCTACCTAATAATGAAAAATCCAGCAAAAGGGGCAACACCAGGTAACTACAGGCCAATTACCTGCTTACCAACAACTTTCAAATTACTAACTGGTGTGGTAGCTGATGCAGTACAACAGCATCTAGTTGAAAACAATCTCTTTCCACCTGAGCAGAAAGGAAACCGCCCCAATAGCAGAGGAACAAAAGATCAACTCCTAATAAACAAAATGATCTTGGAAAACTGCAAGAGAAGGAAGACCAACCTGAATGTGGCATGGATTGACTACAAAAAGGCATTTGACTCTCTGCCACATGATTGGATAATAAAGTGCCTAGAAATAACAGGAGTCAGTAGAAACATCAGAAAATTTGTGCAAAGATCGATGGCACAATGGAAGACACAGTTGCAGATCAATGGTGAGAGGCTGGGAGAGGTTAATATCAAGAGAGGAATATTTCAAGGAGATTCATTATCACCATTACTATTTGTTATTGCACTGTTTCCTCTGTCAACAATACTGAATAACTCAGGACATGGCTATCAAACATCAAAAACATCTGCCAGACTATCCCACCTCCTTTATATGGATGATCTGAAGCTGTATGGAAAAACATCATCTGAAATAGAATCGCTGCTCAACACTGTCCGTATATATAGCCAAGATATTGTAATGGAGTTTGGCTTGGACAAATGTGCCACACTTACTATCAAACAAGGAAAAATAATGAAAACTGAAGGAATCAAGATGCCCCACGAAAATAACATTAAGAGTCTGGATGAGGAAGAGTACTACAAATACTTGGGTATCCTTCAAGCTGACAACATCAAGCACACTGAAGTCAAGAAAAAGATTAGAGGTGAATACATCAAGAGAGTGAAGAAGATCTTAAAGTCCAAACTCAATGGAGGAAATACCATAAAGGCAATCAACACCTGGGCAATCCCAGTCATTAGGTACACAGCTGGAATAGTGGACTGGACTCAAGCAGAACTAAAAGCAATGGATAGGCAGACCAGAAAAATAATGACAATGAATCATGCCCTTCATCCACGCAGTGACATTGATAGACTTTATCTACCAAGGCAAATAGGTGGGCGTGGAATGCTACAAGTACATCAGATGGTTGAAGAAGAAAAAATGGCTTTGGAAGAATATCTGAAGAACAATGATGAAGATGCACTGAAATTAGTATATCAGGAAGGCTTACTAACTACTGGAGAGACCAAACTGGCCTACAAGAAAGACCAAATGAAGAACAGAATAGAGGCATGGGAAGACAAAGCACTACATGGCCAATACATGAAAAAAAATAGCTGGGAAAGCAGATAATAATAAAACCTGGCAATGGCTAAGAGCAGGAAAATTGAAGAAAGAGACCGAGGGACTAATTCTGGCTGCACAAGACAAAGCCTTAAGGACAAATGCATACAAAGTCAAAATTGAGAAGACAGCAACAGACAGTAAGTGCCGCCTATGCAAAGAAGCTGAAGAAACAGTGGACTACTTGGTAAGCTGTTGCAAGAAGATTGCACAAACTGATTACAAGCAGCG